TTCAAAGGTAACATCAAACAAAGTTTACTTTGTAAATTGCTACCTTCTGCATAATTTCAGCGAAAACATTAGTGGAATAATATGAGGAAATCTACCTTTCACCTCTGGAATTTGGGTTCAAATCCAACCAATCCTACCAAAACATATTTCACATAGTCGGAATATGGCAAAAATTACAAACTTATGAGTTGCACTAAACAGCAACAAGTAAGAAATGAAACAAAAACCACACTGATGCAACAGGCCATACTCTTCCAAGATCAAAAATAAGGCATACAATATGCAACACATTGCTGGACACATTGGAAGTGCTATTCCATAGCACTCTGACTTGAGCATCTGACACCGAGTACCTTAGTGTGGAAAACATTTTCTCTTGTTACAAAATGCAAGGTTTCTACCACTACTCCAAACGTCCCTAATAACATCTCTACCAACAAATATGAGCCCAGCATAATAAAATAATTGAGGATGTTTTACAGTAGAGGCATTATTCCAATATGATGGTGTTACCATATATGACATCGGAACATATCAACTGTATTTCTATCTTTCACATTTCTCTTCTAGAGTGTTTGTTAATCCAAAATATGCTGATAGCTGATCAAAAGACATGCCAAACATTAGAATTTGTCATAACCTTAGCCTCAAAGAAACTTATTTGTCAAACATAGGAAAAAGATCTGATAATCATTCAACATGATTACATAACATGATACCAGTCACTGGGAAAGGAATTCTTCCCATTCCATTCCTGGTAACCCTAATTGTTTGGGTGGTCCTACCTGGCCAGCAGCAGAAAGCTTATCAGACAATGTTCACAATTGGGTCCACAAAGCCTTGATTTTCACCAACCTACACCAAATACTTTCTAGAATAATGTAAGCAAGGTGAATCCCTCTGGGAAGAGAGTTCATACTCCATTCCAGAAATGCATATATACAACTCTCGAGAATCTGGTTTGGATAGTCTGTACATTGCAATGTATGGGGATGACCTCAAGCTTCCCTTAAGAATCCAGGCTGAACTGATAAAATATCTCACATTATCAATCCAATCTCAGATTTCAGGCTCAGTCAACAGTGCAATATTGTAGTAATCTACTCAGTACCTAATATGCTCTATCAGTCCTACCTGAGTTATTGAGGGAAGCTTAAGGAGCTTGCATTGGGAGAGGCTGCCTTTCCACACTTTATTTGTGCCTTTGATAAGATTTTTTAAATATATTTCGCCCACTAAATGCACAGTCATTACACTTTACAATATATTTTGTGAGGAGCTTTAAGATGTGTCAATGATGCAATAAGGTGCTATATCAAATGCAAGAATTATTATTATTTAGTTAACAGGAATGAAGACAATTTATGTAGTTTGAAAACATTTAGATTTCAATTTGTGTCCCTCATCATTTAAGCGCTGTTTACTCTTCTATGAGCAACCACGTTAGCAAGCAGATGGAGACAAAACATTACAGACTATGTGCTTAACACCCCAACCACAGCAACAGTAAGACTATACAGTGAACATCTAATATTTTTTTCTCTTTACAGATGTAACATACAGACTGCAGCATCACCTCGTCTTCATTTTAAAATCTCTATAAATAACATGCTCAATTTTAGCAAGCTTTCTCACAGTAAAATAAAGCCATCCAATCTGACCTGAATGTCCAAAAATAATGCTTTTGTTTGAAAAAAAATCAAAAAGCTTAAAACTAGTTATTTGCAACATTGTGTTTCATACACTGTATTCTCATACATTGTAATACTTCCATTCAATACTTGCATGTTAAGAATTTCATTAGAAGCTGGTAACAAAAAAATCTATATTCTCTTGGAAAAAAATTCTGATAAAACTTCAATTTAAAAAAGCCTCAGAAAAATTAGGCTCACGTCAAAATGTCTTCTCATTATTTGCTTTTCAAATCTCATCCCAGGTAACATTACTCTAAAAAATGTTTTGAACAAAGTGTTTTTTAATTCTGTTAGTTCACAGAATTAACAACTATGAGTAAACTCAGGAACAAGTTAGTGTCAGTAACACTGCAGCTTACCCAAAGAAACAATGATAAACTATGTTCCAACACATATTCATGTACCAGCCTGTAAAAGTAGAAAATTTACTGAACATTTTTATAAACTGTCATTTTTATAAATAGACCAACATAGTCAATGGAAATCTGGACATAAGGTTAGTCTTTACATTGGCAGACCAATGGATTTCATTGCAAACCAATGCCTTCCGTGGGTTATTGATCAGATGGGCTGAAAAACCTTAATTTCAAGCCTTAGTACAAATTGTCTCCCTAAACTTGGTGGAAGACAAAAAAAAAAAAATCAGCATTCCCAATTCTGCTAACTATCCCGGTGACTTCTGCCAGAAAATGAGTGTGTGTAAATACTGGTGGAGGACAGGCTGGAGCTCAGCTGTGAGTCAAACACCATGTTGACATTCACCAGTTCATCTCACATACAAAGAATGGCCACTTGGGAATCTTTTGAGACACTTCCTTCAAATGAACAAGTTACAGGGCATTTAAACGAAACAGCACCGGTGAAACAGTCCACGCTGCCTTTCCGAGTTTTAACTTGATTTGAGTTTTTGCTTTTTGTGATGATTGCACACAGTAGAAGTACTGCCATAAATTAATTGCTGGGGGTGTGCAAAGACACCGAAAAACCATCCAGCAATGCAAGAACACAAATGCTCCAAAATGCATTTTTCCTCCATGGACGACAAAAGCTTCGGAAGGACAGAGAGAGAGAGAGAGAGAGAGGGGAGAGAGAAAAAAAAACGTCTGCACTCTCGTGACAGTGTTATTTTAATTCCCTGACTGGAACGAGTTAAGGCTCTTCTTGCAACCAACGTTAATCAGAAACAGCTTTCCTCGTCCCACCACCTACAACCGTCGAAGCCACGACCACAAACAACAAAGGAAAGGGGAGGAAGTGGGACGCCATTGCTTTACACAGACGAAAACAAAACACGAAACTTTTTGTATTTACGTTGCATCCAGAGGTTTTGTTTCATGTATATATATATATATATGTGTGTGTGTGTACGTGCTAGAGAAAAGCCTGCAAAAGCATACACACTGCACTTCCCTTTTTTTTTGTCAACACCCCAAAAGGCTCTGGTTGAAAACCACAAGACGAGCTTGACATTTCACCACACTGAGCAGCACAGGAAACCCAGTGCTTTTTTTTTAATATTATTATTATTATTTATATATATATATACACGAAAAAATAAAATGCATACATGACATATATTTTGCACAGATTTAGCCCCGTGATACATTTGTGTTGGGGGAGGGAGGGGAGTGGTTGCAAGGAGCTGGAGAAAGAAGGAATAGAGAGAAAGGGGGGTGGGGGGAAGAGAGAGAAAGAGAGAGAGAGAGAAAGGGGGTGTCTGGGCTGTTGGGTTGTCTTGTGTTTGCTTGTAATTACTGAGTAGCTCAAGAAATGCACAGGGAGGGAGGGAGGGAGGGTGGGGGGAGAAACTAATTTTATCCTATGATAAATTTGTATTGGGGAATGGTTGTAAAGAGAGAATGGGGGGGGGGGGTAAAAAGAAAAAGGGTGGGTGGGTTGCTGGGCTGTGTTGTAATTTGTTGGTAATTTCAGAGGAAATCCACATTGTTTTTTTTGATTTTCAAAAAAAAAATGAAAAGAAAAATACGAATGTTGCCTGTGGTTACTGTAAGGGGGGAGAGGGGGGTAAAGAGAGTGGGGTAAAGAGAGAGAAGGGTAGAGAGAGAGAGTGGGGTAAAGAGAGAGTGGGGTAGAGAGAGAGGGGTAGAGAGAGAAGGGTAGAGAGAGAGAGAGTGGGGTAAAGAGAGAGTGGGGTAGAGAGAGAGAGAGTGGGGTAAAGAGAGAGTGGGGTAGAGAGAGAGGGTGGGGTAAAAAGAGAGAAGGGTAAAGAGAGAGAGAGTGGAGTAGAGAGAGAGAGTGGGGTAAAGAGAGAGAGAGAGAGGTAAAGAGAGAGAGTGGGGTAAAGAGAGAGAGAGTGGGATAGAGAGAGGGAGAGAGTGGGGTAGAGAGAGAGAGAGTGGGGTAAAGAGAGAGTGGGGTAGAGAGAGAGGGTGGGGTAAAAAGAGAGAAGGGTAAAGAGAGAGAGAGTGGAGTAGAGAGAGAGAGAAGGGTAAAGAGAGAAAGAGAGTGGAGTAGAGAGAGAGTGGGGTAGAGAGAGAGAGAGAGAGGTAAAGAGAGAGAGTGGGGTAAAGAGAGAGAGAGTGGGATAGAGAGAGGGAGAGAGTGGGGTAGAGAGAGAGAGAGGTAAAGAGAGAGTGTGGGGTAAAGAGAGAGAGAGAGTGGGGTAGAGAGAGAGAGGGGTAGAGAGAGGGAGAGAATGGGGTAGAGAGAGAGAGAGAGGGGGGTAGAGAGAGGGAGAGAGTGGGGTAGAGAGAGAGAGAGTGTGGGGTAAAAAGAGAGAGAGGGGTAGAGAGAGAGAGGGGGGGTAAAGAGAGAGAGAGGGGTAGAGAGAGAGAGGGGTAGAGAGAGAGAGGGGGGGTAAAGAGAGAGTGTGGGGTAGAGAGAGAGGGGTAGAGAGAGGGAGAGAGTGGGGTAGAGAGAGAGAGAGAGAGTGGGGTAAAAAGAGAGAGAGAGGGGGGTAGAGAGAGAGAGAGAGAGGTAAAGAGAGAGAGTGGGGTAAAATGAGAGAGAGAGAGAGTCTCGGGCTGTGTTGTGTTTGCTTGTAATTCTGCAGCTGCTCAGTGATGGCGCCTGTGGCACAGACACAGACACAGACAGACAGACTGACTGTCAGGGCTCCAGCCTCTGTGTGTGTGTGTGTGTGTGTCTGTGCAGCTCCACACAAAGACTCAGCCCCACACACACACACACACACACAGTGAGGCTGTCAGGTCCCCGCGGGGCCTCCTCCCTCCCTCCCTCCCTCCCTCCCCCCCCCGGAGAAGCCAAGACAATAGAGCGGCCCCGGGGCGGCCCCGGGCCCCGCGCTCCCGCACCCACAGCCCCGGCCCCGCCGCCGCCTCTTACCCGCTTGGGCTCCTCGTGTTTGACGGACGACCTGGTGGAGCGAGTCCTGGACGAGATGCGGCCGCTGTTGGTCTTGGGCTCGGCCTCGACCGCCGAGTTCCGCCGTGTCCTCACCATGTCTGTGTGTGTGTCTGTGTGTGTGTGTGTGAGGGAGGCGGCGGCTCCTCTCTCTCTCCTCTCTCTCTCTCCTCTCTCTGCTCTCTCTAAGGCTGCACCGACGCCATTGCTGTCCCCTGGTCTCACTCGCTCGGCTCCACTCGGTGAGGGGGGGAGGAGGGAGGGAGGGAGGAGTCTGACTGCACTCACTGTCTGTCTGTGTGTGTGTGTGTGTGTGGACACCGACAGCAACACACACCTCAAATACAATACACCTCCACACACACACTCCACACTCACTCACTCACACACACACACACACACACTCACACACTCACTCACACACACACTCACACAGGTCCACCCACCCCCACTGGCTGATTGCTTTCCCCGAGGGTAATGATCATCGTCGCGATGATGATGATGATGATAATAATCCTTGCTATTCGCCGCGGCCACGTCTCAAGGGGCGCTTCGCCCGTGAAGGGAAGTGACCGGCCGTGCGGGCGGCCGCAGGTTCTGCGGGCGAGACCCGGCAGCCGATCGCGCGCAGCGGCGTCCCACAAACGGCCGAGGATTGAAGCGACCAAATTATTTTCTCTCTCTCTCTCTCTCTCTCGAGGGGTTATTATCGGGCGTGTGGAGTAAGGGCACTGGCCCAAGGTTTCCGCCCCTGCCGGGAATCGAACCCGAGTCTCTCGCTCGCGAGGCGAGGGCTCTAACCGCTGAGCGACAGGGCTCCACGCTAATAATCCTTTCAAGAATAATAATTATTATTATTCGGTCACCTCAGTGCACGACTGTTTGTGGGGACGCTGCCACACGCGATCGGCTGCCGCACTTCGCCTACACAACACACAGTTCACTCTACAGTATATTCTGTGAAGCGCTTTGAGACGTCTGGACGACGTGATAAGACGCTATATCAAATGCAAGGATTATAATTATAACAACAACAAAACCCACAACCCGGACTTCATCTCTCTTTTCTCCACCCTCCCCAGCAAAGGCTAATTGCGGCATCGTGTTTGTGCCGCCTTTTTTTTCTTTCAATGGCACTTTTTAAAATCATCATTGCTCAATAAGACCGTTTCCTATCGGACAGTGGGTGCAAAAAAAAAACACTTTTTGAGGGTGAGGTGGGGGGGCTTCGAGTTTAATTTGTAATTTCCCATTGCTCCCCCCCACCCCTCTCCCATCCTCATGCATATTAATTATTAAATTTAGCATTTTGCAGTTATTTGTCTATTTAAAATAAAAAGTAGTAATTATTGTGGCGGGCTTTAGCACTACATCAACTGAATCTAGTACTGCCGCACGTAGGTTTATCTAAGAGCTCTGGGATGCTACCCTGCGAGAGGGTTGCTATATAAATACAAGTTGTTGTTGTTAAACGTTTAATTAGATAATTGCTTTACAGACATAATCTTCCTCATTATTTTAATTTTAAGTATTTTTAGTCCGGGCCAGAATTGCCACACATAAATACACATAAACCCTGCCATTTCCTTCACCTATCAATGACAGGATTATTTGCTTTAATCTGCATACTTACTTCTGAATATTTATTGTTTGTTTATTTTTTTCTTAAATATTACAGCGTTTTCACCTGGAACAGAATACATTTTATGTGTTTATGTTTTAACTTTTGCAGGACTTGTTTTCATTAATCCTTTGGCAAATTCAAAACAACTTCAAAAGGCATTTTCAATGTTTATTAATACATTTCCTTGATTTTTTTACATTTATTTTGCTATTTTGGGTCAAAATATTTTGTTGTGATGTAAGCGTTTAATAAACTTATTAATCTTGATAATAAAGTAATCATAAGGGGTTTGTTTCACTGTTATAATCCAGGTTTAGCCTTAATCATCAATACAGAGTACAGTTGGCCCATAACTAAATAAATAATATTTGCATTAGAAACTATTTAGGTAAAATAAGAGTTAAACTATGATTTAAATCTACAGTTAAACTATGATCAATGTAGGGGGAACCTTTAAGACAGATTTCACTGTACTTAGAAACATATCATTAAACCAAATTTAATATATTATTTACATTAAGAACATTAAATATTTGTGTATTAACATCTTGACATTAGAATATGGAATAATTAATCCTGGCTATTAAAAATATGCTAGGTTTTTATATATAATTCTATATATAATTGCACCCAAGAAACTCAAATTTATAATATAATCCACATATATTTCTAGATGTGTGGAAGCAATAAAGGTGACACTAAAGTGGTTTATGGGAATTATCCGAATTCCTGAATCAAATGAGAGCCTTTTGCTAACTGTGTCTTAAAATATATTACATCTTCGGGAAACAAAACAAGTGAGAATTACTAGTATAAGTCACAGTAATTTTTCACTGTCTTTTGAAAATTAAATAGCTACTTGTCAAATTCTCAGTACAAAACAGAGTACAGTAGTGGCTCACGAGATAACATATAGATATAAACTGTGTGTGTTTCTAAAACCATGCTAGTCATTTAGATAAGTTTGTGAACTGTACAAACAGGACTTAAATGGTTTATAACCCTTTTATCCTCTTAGATTTGGCTATGGGCTTTAACTCATTCCATTACATTTTAATTTGGTGTGGTCTCCACAGTCACTCTATGATATCTTTCTATGTTGATTTTGTGTAGTCAATACACGATATAACTGTCCAATTGTTCCATACATTCCAATTGTACTGTTTGGATGAGTGTTTTTGTCACTTTGCTACCCCTCCTCGATGCCTGTAGTGACTTGCTGGTGTACAGTTCCATAGGCGCTGGTAGCCTCCCGATACCTTGTCCAAGAGAAAATTGTGTCTATGCGATTCTTGATATGCGATTTAACTGTGGGAGTCGTCATAATTGAGCCTGACCCTGTTGTCACCTGACATCATCCATACCAGCGCTTTTCTATATATACCGGGGTAATAAACTCTTCAAAAAAAGAAATAATCATTTGGTTACTCAATCCACGACTGTTTGTGGTACACTGCTGTGCGCAATTGGCTGCCGCGTTTCGTCCACAAAATATACAGTCAATCCACTTTACAGTATACTCTGTGAAGGACTTTGAGACGTCTCAAAGATGTGATGAGGTGCTATATCAAATGCAAGGATTATTATTATTATTATACATCAACCATTCCTTGATATTTAGGAATGATAATTTGCACAATAATTTTTCCAAAAATCCAAAAGGAATAGTTTTGTCATGATGTGAGGTAAGCTCTATAGGTTATCATGTCTACTATTTTTACTTGTATTATAAAAACATTAAAGTAACCAAATAAATCACTTTAAACTTAACAAAAATGACAGTGACACAAATAATGGAGATGATAGAGTTGTGCAAGGACTGAAATCCAAAATTAATGATCTGGGTAAAGAGCGTCGAATAAGTTTTTAAAATCTTTTCATTGCTAAATACCATATTAGTATTGCTTCAAATATTAAGTTAATTTGCATTGTGAATTGCAGACCCAGGATATAATTATATAAAGTAATTGTGGGTGGGACTGATTGCAAGAAAGCCATCTCATCTGAAGCCCTGACGACCATAGATAGTGAAAGCGAAGCTAATCGTTTATTAGGCACAAAGCCATGTCTCTCTTTTGACAGGTGGCAGCTGGAATTGGCTGCCAAAAAGATGTTCTTTTTATCTAATGAATGGGGACAACCACGTTAAAAAAAAGACAATCTGTGATACAAATTGACTACAACATTACTAACATTTAAATTGTAGTGAATCGCGAGAAAATAACATTATAATATATTATATATTTATATTATATTTATAATATATTTATATTATTATTATAAAATAACATTACCCTATGCTGTACATTACAAATCCATACTATTTCAAATACTTTTTCACGAAATGCAATTGTAAACAAGTGGTAAAATTATTGAAACTAGTTTGTTATATTTGTGTATTATTGTAAGTGTGAAATAATAGCATTTCATCAGTGCATTCAAAACAGCAATATGACATTAATAATTGATACCTAATTTCATTGCAATGTTTGTAATTAGTTGGATATGTTGTTTGAATAAATTATATTTCCTATATAGACCAGAACAGATTAAATCATTGTGACACCTAACAAATCACTTCATTTGACTATTATATAATAATCTTGTAACAAGTAACACGTTTTAATTTACGTCAAAAAAAATCCTCCCCATCCACTTGTTTTAATAATTTATACATCTTGTTTGTTTTTTCTATATTTTTTGATATCTTCCTAATTCTTGAATTTGTTACTACATCTTATTCTAGTATTGTGAATTAGAACACTTTAATATAGAAGCAATTACTGGAGCGCTTTAAACACAATATCTTCTTTAAATATAATAATAATATTAATAATAATAATTATTGTATTCGATATAGCACTTTTCACGTCTTCCAGGCATCTCAAAGCGCTTCACAGAATATACTGTAAAGTGAATTGACTGCATATTTGTGGGTGAAACACGGCAGCCAATTGCTCACAGCAATGTCCTACAAACAGTCGTGGATTGAAAATGACCAATTTATTATTGTTTTGTTTTTTGGAGGGATTATTATTAGGTGTGTGGAGTAAGGAAACTTGCCCAAGGTTTCACCCTGTCTGGAATTGAACTCAGGTCTCTCACTCGCAAGGCGGAGTCCTGTAGCTCAGTGGTTAGAGCACTCGCTTTTATAAAGGTTTTACTTTACTTTATAAAAGTGCATCTGCTGATTGGATTTTTCTTGCTATTTCTTCCGTTGTTTTGTGTGTAATAATTTATGAATATTTTCTACTGTTTGATTCAAAATGTTTGTAAATTATTTATAATAGTTTATAATGAAGCCTGCAAAATTTCTATACAATTCAAATACAATACGATACAAAATTGCATTTGTATAGCACCTTTCATGTTGGGAGGACGTCCCAAGACGCTGGACAGTCAGGGATTTGGACCCGAACTAATGGAGGTTTGGGGTTCCACTGAATGGCACTTGAAATAGTTCAAGATGTTTCTACAATTTTAGATAATCTT